TCATTTTGCGTGCCGAGCCGCATAGTCCATCACCGTGACAACGTGCACCTTGTACTTGGGAACGATGTGAGGCGGCGAGGGCACCGGGACGTGCACATAATGGCCTGGCGCATGCATGCTTGGAGAGTGGCCCCGTTCGACACCTTTCCTGTGTGCATGGCTTCCGCCCTGAGCAGGCCACTGCGGCCGGCGATCTTGACCGTGTAGGGCTTCTTCACCGTGATGACCTGCCAGGCAGCACTGCAGCCCGCGCCACCGAGCGGCATGGACTCTAGCAACTCCTTCCATGCGCCTGGGGAGGCTGCCGCACGGGGTACGGCACGTCCTTGTTGACCACGACCTGCGCGGCTGAAGTATGCTCCGGCAGTGCTCTGAGGCATTCTGAGGCCCGGCCCGGATTATGACTTCTTTCCTTCCGGGCTCCGCGCGTGATGGACCACGGTGGGCCCCGGCACCGGCACGTGCACGTACTTCGGCGGGCTCGGGATGTGGTAGACTTGCGGGATGTTGTGGATGATCTCGGAACCGGGACAGTGAGCACCGCAGCTATAAGCATCGTAGAATTTTAAAAAGAAAATCACGGGCTGCGCTGTGAATTTTGCCCAAGCCAAGCAACTGGAGGAGGGCGCGCTGCTTGGACCGGCACCGGTACGTGCACCCGCCTGGCCATGTCACGGAATCTCACGGATAAACGGACTAGCAAAACCGTGCATAACCCTCCCCGAAAGCTTCCAACTTGAGACCTGGCTGCGTGAAACTTTCCGTGCTCGCATATGCAACGGTCTGCTGCAGAGGGGCTGGATCTTGGTCACGTGGTGGTAGATGTTGCGGTTCACGACTTGCTTGGGACAGTACTGACGCAGGGGCAGCAAACCATGCACCCTTCCAGACTTCCAGCTGACTGCAGGCTGCGCGACTTCAAAACTGACCTTTGCAGTCCTGTCCTCTTTGTACTTGTAGCAGCACCACCGCGTGTGTGGGCCGGACCATGTCTTGTAGGCGTAGTTGTCGCCATCGAAGCAGTCGTAGTGGGCGTTGGGCTTCTGGGCGGGCAACAAGCATGATTCGAGGTCAAGGCTGCGTACAGCATGCAGCTTATCTCTCCGAGGCCCTTGCGACCACGTGGACCGTGTGGATGATGGGCGGCGCCTGCGGCATCTGGACCTTCACCTGTCCGTAGTTCGTTCGAATGATGACCGAATGCTGAACTTTGCAGCCAGGTCGCGTAGTGGTTCACCGGCACCTTCCTGCGCCACCAGGCAAAACCCCCCCAAGAAGGACAGGACGCTCTCTGCGCAACACTTCCCTTGGCCCTGGGTTTCGTTGGAGCTTGGAGTCCTGACCACCGTGTTGTAGTGGCGGCGGACGACCTCGTGGTAGTGCGGAGCCTGCACGCTGAGGTTGCTGCGCAAGTGTGCGGGGATGTGAGGGCTCCACGCTCTCTTCTCCGTGCCTCTGTGACGGGGTCCGCGCAGGAGACCCCGCAAGTCAAACAGCAGCTGCTGTCCTGCTCAATCGGGCATCATGCGCTTGGGCCTGCGCCCAAGAAACCATGACAGCATCCCATGCTCTGGGGCCCCCTGCAACGAGTCCCGGCACCACGGCGCCATAGCACGGATCTCGGCTCATATTATAGCACGTATGCGGCACAACGTTGGCAGCTCTGGACAGAGGGGAGGGGCGCCAAAACTTGCAGTCAAGGCACCGCACGGATCAGCCGCGCCCCTGATCACGTCCACATGCACTGCAGATTCTACTTGTGACTTCAGGCAGAGGTCCCTGCGCACACACCTCACCGGTAAAGAACGAGCGCACCTGACGTGGTCGGCAGATCGGGGCCCATGTCGGTGGGATGCGCGACTTCGGGCAGGTGTTTTGCGCCAGAGGTCCGGACGGGGCAGAAGAATAGCAATGGCAGGAGAAGCAGCGGGATGCCTCGGGAACTGCTGTGGGTGGAGTCTGTGATGCTTTGAGAGGCCATGAGCCGCCGGCATAAGCAGCACCAGCAGGCAGGGCGGCACCTTCGACAGAAACGACAATTTTTTTCGGCCCCATCATCTCTTACAGAATCACACGGCTCTCTCCTATAGACACCTGCCAGTACGCGTGCCTGTAGCCATAGGTGGCGCTCTTCTCCTTGGAGTAGCTGCCTTGGCCTGATTTCTGCAGCTTTTTGGGATTACTATTAGTATTATTGTTATTACTACTATTATTCATTGTTATTATTGTTAGTATTACTGTTGTCATTCTTGTTATCGATGGGAGAAGCTACGAAAGCATCGGCACCTGCGCCGACCTCCACAAGCTTGGTCTCCATGTTGCCCATTCCTGGCGCTGACAACAGACTGGGGTTGAAACTGTGCGGGCAAGCAGCCGGCACCCGGCAGAAGTACAGCTCAACACACGACTGGCCCAACATGTGAACCATGCATCAATGTAAGTTCAGGCTGTGGAGGAATGCCAAGGATTCCACGCGAGTCACCTCGTCTTTGTTTGTCAACCTTTTGCCTGCAACAGTCTGGTGGTTGCACCTGCAGGCTCATAATGAAGAAGCCACAAAACTAAATTGTCATCTGACTGCATGTCCAAGACATGCTTTGCCGCCTAGCTGGGAGTTACTCCAGTTCCCACACTAGGGTCCTTATTCTAGGCGCTGGGGTTACTAAAGCCCAGTCGCAACCTACCACGAGTCCCTACATAATCCAAACTTCCATTCCATCTTTCATTTCCCGTCCCACTCTGCTCCATTACAATAGTCCGAATCCCCCGTTACCCATAATGACCGCTATGTAACTGATCCGCTATAGTCCGGATATCCGCCGTAATCTCTACATAACCCCCCCCAATCGGTATACACTACCCCTAAACCCTAAAACCTAGACCCTTTGCCAGCTCATGTTCGCTCGCAAGGACACCAATAAGACTGCCAGCCTCTGCTGGTGCTGCACTACAGCCCCCCCAGCACATGGATAGGGTAAGCGTATTATATACCTTTTGTTGGGGTGGATAGCTTCCATATTTACATATGTGTAATCTTGCCGGAACATGAGGAAGTGCTACAAAACTAACCACAAACACTAACCGACTCCAGATCTCGTTCAAGCCCTTCAAGCTTAAGAAGCAGGTGCTTCAGAAGGTTCAGCACGGTTCAAACCTTGCTGAAAGCATTCTCATTGTATACAGCGTAGCACGATGCACTTGTAAGTGCAAGATTTTGATGCAAGCCTTTCCATGTAGATCTTGGGAGTGAGCACATAATATGTTTGTATATTTAAAATGTATACGCATCGATGCGCACATGTGTATCTATATACATTATATATGACTCAGCGCAGGCATGGCTTGAATGACAAGACATACACCAGTTTCAGGGTGACAGGTAATCACTTGCCGCTCGTTCATCACACTTTTTGATGATCTGATAATGAATCATTTGCCAGGGACCTAATGTTGAGGGATTGCTTCTAAAAGGAGTTTCATTGCGCAGGATCAATCCTTGATTATGAGAAGTAGGGGCAGATTGCATAATCCCTCTATCAGCCATGAAATCTGAAAAACGCCGATAAACTCAATCTCATCCCTATTGAAATCAAAGGCCTGACCCAACGTATCTGATGCCCTCGTTGCTTCCATCGGTGTAGCGCTCGTAGAACATGTCTCAGAAGGGATCCCATTTTAGGTTCATGGACACTTGCAAGTATGGTAGTCAGTAAGAAGCCCCCCATCCTGCCAATCCTGAATATTCACCCTACTACATGGTTGTACAATATTGGGAATACACGATATATATATATATATACATGCTCGGGAAATGATTGCTAGGTGGAGGCAAGAGGATTATAGGAGTTTTGGGTCTATATCAGGGTCCCCCTGTTTTTGGAAGCTACTGTACCACACAAACATACCAAAATACGAAGTCGAGTTATATATAACTTCTCTCAGCCTTGAGGCTTATCACATTCTCAGCCAAAGGGTCTGTGTTGGGGTACGGTATAGCTCAAAGTATTGCCCATCTACCAGGTTTTTGCAGTTTAACCCGAAACCCTGAAGCTTATTTGATGCATAGGTATATAGATTTTATAAACATACGATATAGCTAAGAAGAGAGTTTAACGGCTCCAAGCGAGGGGAATCTAGGTAGTTGTATCTGCATAGAAACTTACCATATCGGGGGGGTTCTATGAAAATTGGGTGAAGATTATATAGCATCGACATAGGTGCAGGGTATATAGGGTCTAGGGATAGTACCTCGATGAAAAAAAACGGCAAAGAAGTTGAAAAATGAAATGGAAAACTGTGATGATGTAGGGAAGTAGGGTTTAGGGGCTAGCTAAGTATATTACAAAATATTCACGCCATCTAAATTAAAGAAATATGCCAAATCATAGGATATAACCCGGTTCAAACTTGGAGGGAACATCTGAAAAAAAAGGGCATGCGGGGTCATGTAGAGATTCTAGGGTATATAGAGGGGTTATACTGGGATAATGGAAAAGAAAAACCACTGGGATTATAGGGGTTATGTAGGGATCATACGGAAAATGCAGCAAGCAAATCATTCTGAGAGCGGCACCAAAGAAGTATCCTCCTGGCATGGGGGAGTTCTCCAAATTGGGATGAGCTTCGGTCTCTGCGCAAAATCATGATTGCCCAGGGATGTTTTGGGTTTCTTTGCCAGGATTTATCGGGATCATTTGAGACAATCCCGCATGCGGATGTACAATCACAACAGGATATATAGCGGACTGGTAAAATGAATCAACGGGAACACAGGAGAAACAAGAATGCCGGCGTCCACAAGAGAGCTGGGCGCCCTGGAACCCGCCAACAGCTGCGACAATCACTCCAAAAACAACAAGAAGCTTGGAGCATCATGAGAGTGAAATTTGGAGCCTAAATGGGAGGTGGCTCGGTGTGAGAGCTCCACACGCACTTGGTTAAGAGGGAACAAAAATGAAGCATCTATCCATGATACAATTAAGAACTGATACAGTGGCGCTCCTCATGCGATCACTCCTCCTGCAAAAAAGATGTGCACAAAAGAGCCTCAGTGAGCAAGTCCTTTTTGCTTCGACGCAGTGTGTGTCATGCGAAGAAATGATGGAAGATTCCAAAAATGAATGTCCCCCTAATTTTTCCCCAAAATACTACAGTCCTGTTTTATAGGCACACCCAACAGAGAAAGTCCTATGATTTCTGGAAATCCTGAACCGTAAAGTTATCCTTTTATACTCCTATATTTTCCGACCTGGGGGGTGGTCCTTGAAATGGGGATCTGGATTAAGTATGTTCTTGAATGCTTTTGAAGCACTTTTCAGAAACTGCCCTAAACCAACCCTTAACCGTATAACTCTTAATGTGGACCCGCCGTGAGCCAGCCTAATCCGCCTCCGCCACTGCCAGCGGCACCTGCGGCACCTGCGGCACCTGCAGCCCACTGCTTTCACGGTTTCAACCCAGACCCCCTGAAGGATCTAAAAAACGGAACCCCCCCCTATGAACCCAGTACTACATTGGGGAAAAAAGGGGATTATTAGGGGGTTCCATTTTTTGGATCCTTTAGGGGGTCTGGGAAGTTCAGGGCTGAGGTTTTCCGATTCAGGGTTCACGGTTTAAGGTTTAGCATTGAGGGGTAGGGATAAGGTTCAGAGGTATATAGGGTTTAGGGGTTTAGGGTTTAGGGTCGAAGTGCCTATGTTCAGGGCTTACCGCCCACATACTATCACCCACACGCGAAGGCCGGAAAATGAACTTGCGCAGGCCCCTCAGGCAACTGTCCTCGTCTATGAACCTCCATCGCTCCCTTTGCATGGGAGTTTGCCCAAGTTACGATTCCCCAAACCTGGACCTTAAACCTAGACCCTCAACTCAAGCAAGCTGTGAAGGCATTACCCTAGGGATCCATGTATACAAACAATACCTACATTGGGCCCTAAAGTCTGTAGATATTACCTGCATTGGGCCCGTTGGATCCTCAGAGTCACGTAACTGGTAGCAAATACTCGGAACTCTGAGATAGGAATCGCACCTGTACCTTTACCTTTTAAGCAGGCCGCAACATGGAGATGTCCATTAATCATTAATACAGGGACCCAGTATACCCCCCTCGGGGCTCAAAACAGGGCCCTCCTATAGAAACCCAGCTTCTGTAATTTCCCATTTTTTGTTCCCATTTGATTCTCCATTATGGGGCCCTAAACCCCATATAAACCCCATAAAAGATATAGTCTAAACTCCTATAGTATCCCCCTTCATAGGCCCCATAATACTCCGCTGTATAATCCCGTATGTAACCCCGCCTTGAGGATTTTAGACCCTAAAAACGTAAACCGTATATAGTCCCCCTTCAAGGACCTTAGACTATGGCCCATTTTTGCCCTGGACTAAATTTGCAGTATATCCCTTTTTTGGTCCCTCGTAGAACCCAATATATTCCCCCTAGAGGTCCACCCCAACCTAAATTTATTCCGTAGCTCATATAATCTCCTATAGAATCCCCCTTTGAGGTGTTTAGGCCCTAAACCCTAAACCCTATATACTCCCCATGGAATCCCCCTTTGAGGAGTTTAGACTACGGCTCACCCTAAGGGTCCAAGGACTCCATTAATAAGGTTTTAGGGCCCAAATACAATTAATATCATAATATTTGGGCCCTAAAACCCTATTATTCGGGCCCTTGGACCCTTAGGGCCATATGGGGGGTTGTCAAAATCATGGCCCCTTTTTGGGTACCCTAAGTATTAGGTGCCGTAGTATAATAGGGATCCAAAAAAGGGGACCATAATTTTGACAACCCCCCTTTAACCTCCTGCAGCTCCACCACCGCCAGCACTGCCACCCATTACCATACCCATTGCTCCTTCATGGGTTTAGGCGTTTAGAAGTTAAGGGGTTTAGAGTTTAAGGGTTTAGGGGTTTAAGGGTTTAGGGGGTTTAGGGTTTACGGGATTAGATTTTAGGGTCTTAGGGCTTAGGATTTAGGAGTTCCTCTGAAGGGTAAGGGTCTG